ATACTCTCACCGTGGCATGAAATTTCATCGATGTTCGTTTTCAAACTTTTATTCGATAGGCTAACACTATGTGCCCTGTGTACATGTCATTTCTCCATATTAACTGGTAACATGCTGAAACCGTCAGAGCGCTTACGTTTTTGTTTGCCTGCTTACATGTGTAGTAAGCAGCGGCTTGACGTCATTTATTGACGTTCCACACATGATAACAACCAACATTTTCACGATATTCACTGCAGCCAGTATCCATCCAATCATGGAGTAGATAATAGGGAATTCCCTATTATCTACTCGTGATCAACATCAACCCTGCTACAGCTGCTACTAATACTACTCTGATCCAATAAGTATCCCACAGAGCCTAAATTGTTCTCACACTGCGCCAACGCACCTTAGATAACCGAGCGCGTTTTGTGACAGTGACGTCAGGTCGTTCGCGCATTTGCATGATTTTTGCGTTGGTCACCTCGTAATTTTCTCAGAATTTCTCAGGTGCATGGAACATTTTACCAATTTAGGGTGTCAGTTTAGGTCATGGATATGTCGCAGTAATGTACTAACAAAAGATATATCACATACGTTCACCCATTTGCACACAGGCGGTCACTCATGTGAAAAATAGAAAACGGCTTTATTTCTCCGTTTCACGATATCATAGTAGCCGATATAAATGGATATTTCTCTGTGATTACAACGCGCGATTAACTTTAATTTTACACTCGTTTTATGGCTAACATATTGTTGGTAATGGAAGTGCGTTCAGGGATTGCTGATTAAGTTGCCGTACTTTATTAGTTATGACTTCTTTATTCGCTAAAATTTTCTATTTAACACACAACTTGATTTTTAAGCAGTTTTTTTCCAGTTTTTCGGTAATATGGGAAATTAAAGACAAAATCCCGACGCACTATTTTTGCGTCCATATGTGTGCTTAACATGCTGGCAAAATTTTTCATTCTCACTCTTTTCTGGTTTTAGCTGCAGATATCCAAAATATCATTTTTTACATAAAAATTCCAAGGTAGGTAGGCCTATTATGGTGATGGAAATTTCATAAAATTTTTTGGCTTGAGCATAGAGATATATCTCCTTCTATAAATAAAACACAAGTGATTTTGATTCGATTCATTCGCCAATAAACGTTTAATCTTCCACTTTTAGAGCAATACCGTCCACAACGTGGAAAGTACCGTATCCTTAAAGTGATTACGTCACGAATTTCTAGTACCTTAAGTAGTATATTTGGTGTTAATGTACAAAATAAAAATGTATGAAAATACAAATTAGTGTTTCTGATTTACTTTTCATTGCTTATATACCTTCTTTTATGCCTAATTTGCGTGAAAACCGGAACGCCAGTATCTGACAGACATGATTGTCCTGATGTAAGATGTTTTAATTGGGACCATGTTCTCTCATCTTGAACGATGGAGTTCGCAAGATCATGTTTGACAGATCTGTTACCAATGACCGTCTGTTAAGGCTTAATAAATTAACTAAAAACAAATAATAATACGCCATCAGATAATCCGTTATTGCACTGGCGCCATTTTCGCTCTGGCAGTTTGACTGGTTACCTTCAGTTTTTCACAGGTGCAGTGCGTGCACATCGACACACGCGCAGAACGCATACAGTGACAGTCTAAATGAGCGGTCGACTATAACTTAGACTGGGTCCACGCTTGACAGTTCAACTTGCGTTACACATTAACACTGTTAGAGCGCGGACTCGTCTATATTACTTTAGTTATTTTTAGTTGAGCATAGAAAAAGCGGAGAGCGAGGCGCAGATAGAGAAGGAGGGTGAGGGTTGATCAACGTAGCAACGCTAAAGAAGGGAGAGCGTACAAAGGGTAAATGCTGAAAACCATGCTTGCCCAGTATTAGTTCGAATTAATAAATTCTTTATACGCTCTTTGGTTTATATCAAAAGTTAGCATATAATAGGGAATTTCCATTATCTACTTCTTGGTGTATATCACTCCTTTCTCTATTAGCTTCCAAGAAACGTATTGCTTAGGGTAGAATTACCAATGTATAGGACAATCCGTCGCCACAGCCTCGGTCGGGCTACCTTTCTATCAGATGCATCCCGTTAGATTGATCAACGCATTTTGCCTTACCGACTTGCAGGTCCGGCAAGCGTTTTAGCCATTTCACCACGGCCAGGCATATTAAAATCGGATATAATCAAGTTGATTTATATTATGCTCTGCCGCAGTGCTGCGCGCCCGCGGGCGTTGTCACTGATTCTATAATATATATATTATTATATTTATAGAAGATCAGTGCGGCGATGTTTGAGATATATAATTTTGTGAATTTTTTGCCCGCGGGTTTTTTTTTTTTTGTTTTTAATTTTTTTTTTTTTTTTTTTATTAGCACGTGTTGCCGCTGATGGGACCTCTTAGCTGATTAGCTCGCCGCTCACAAAATATTGAAATATTATCATTATGCACTTTGGACGTCTCAATGAACAAAGATTTATGTAATAAACACGAAATTGATTTACCACAAGTCACAATATTTCTCTATTCTCTTTCGCCTATATTGGTGCCGCATAATTTCTGTAAATGGCCGTTCAAGGGTTCAAATTAATTGCTCTTCTGCCACAACAAGTACGCACGCACGTATACGCCACAGCTGTGCACAAACAACAAGAACATAGATAGAGAAGAACATAGAACTAGTTATACTTGTTGTTTGTGCACGGCGTGCACATGCGGTGCGGGTGTACTTGTCTATGGCCAGAGAAAGCATCTTGACGGCATTTACAGAATGATTAATTTTGCTATTATCTGAGTGGCTGCATGGCAAAATGCTTAATTAACTGGCAGACCAAACATTTTTCTAATCTTTCAACTACGTTTACACTGCGAATTTTTTGGTTAAATAGTTAAAAAGTACTTTATATTGCCACATTATCTGCAGCAGCCGATTACGATAATATAGTCTATATTATGCACTCCTGATCTAGCTTAGTATATAATAATATATATATATATCAGGAGTTAATAAAGACAAAGTTAAAGACAGGAGTTAATAAAGACAAATTCACAATTAAGACAAAAAAGTCTTGCATATATATATTATATTATATAGCGTGTGTGCCATGTGTTTTTTCATGTGTGTGTGTACGTGCGCGGCGCGCGTGCGGCTTCAGCGGTCCGCGCCAGTGGCGCGTCTGATCAGGGCACACCCACCCCACCAGTGCCGTGGTGCGTAGCGCGCACTGCACCAGACCTGTGCGTGCGTGCGCGCTGCGCGTGTAGTCGTCATGTTTGTGTAGTAGTGTGTGTTCGTGTGTGTGTGTGTGTGTGTGTGTGTGTGTGTGTGATGTGTGGTGGTGTGTGTGTGTGCGTGTTACGTCGCTGCGCGCGCGTGTGTGTACGTGCGTGCGCGCGCTGTTTTGCGTACGTGCCGTGTACGTGTATATGTGTCGCATAACCGCCACCATTAAATATATCAGAGTTAGTAGCATTAGGTATCTGTTGTATGGAGTCTCGTAGAGATGTACGTGTTTTATACATCTAGGGCAGGCATCCGATATATCAGTAGAGAATAGATTATATATATATTACTATATTAATAATATACCATATATCAGGAGTAGATAATAGGGATTCCCTATTATCTACTCCTGATATATATATGCATGCGCGTGAAGGGGGAAACGGTTATATTCGGGTTGTGGCTGTGGGCGCTTATAAGTATCTGGATAGAATCATGATATTTCATGCCCTTTTGCTATAAAAGCCGTGTGTGTGCCATCCTTCATTCATATCTTCTAATTGCAACCTGTGATAATTCATGTGATATATTGTTCTTGATCGGTCTAGGAGAAAGAACTAATTAGTAACATATGATGCTTAATTGTGAGAAATATTACTCACAGGTAGATAGATAGTTGGCTTGATGGATAGATTATAGACACCTGGAGCGTTTCCATAATAAAATGATGGTAAATACACACGAAATGTATTTACTACCAAAGTTGGTTATGTACAAATAAGTTTATGTATTCTCTATCGGCTAATAATTACACGAAAAATGCCGTTTTTCAGATGCTCCCCCGCAACATGAAATCTCACCGCACGCACGCCGCTGTGCACAGAACACAGATTTCTCTACATTTATCTATATTTTTGTTGTTTGTGCACAGCGCGCACAGCCCGGCGTGCATGCGGTGAAATTGTGCGTTGCATACTTGCACTCTTGCAGAGGAGCATTTGAACTACATTCACATGAAATTATTATGCTAATAATTAATAGGCGAATGAGAGTATAGAGAAACATTCAGACTTTGGTAGTAAATACATTCCGTGTTCATAATTTTATTATTGAAACGTTTTAAGTGCCCGTGGGATGGATGGATGAATCAATATAGATGTCGACTGTGATTTTGCGTGGGACTGTGATTTTACGTGGGTGGATGGATGGATATGAGTGGCCTATATAATTATACTGTCTTTGGTAATATGTTGCACGTTTCTCCGATGAACTTAAGGCTCTATATGGAAGCCTACATATTTAGAACAACACCGTCATTTTATTCTGTGCAATTATAGATAATACCAAGAGCAGTGGCGTAGCCAGCAATTGGAAACAGGGGGGGGCCAAGGCGAGGGAGCGAAGCGACCGAGGGGGTAGGGTGTGGGATGTTCGAAGTCGAAATGAGCTTTCTGATTATGAATGAGCGTGATGATGATGAGTACGATGGCAGTGACAATGAGATGGGGGAGAGGGAAGTGGGTAATTTTTTTTCAATTTCATAAAAGAATAAATCTCTAAGAATACACCAAAGAGTTCTGTTTCTCTTTTCATAATATGATGATCATTGATTCGGGCCTATAAAACCTAGTGTGGGCCAGTGAATTATACATTTCACAGGCCCGCTGGGCCAATAAGGGTGGAAGTTTTTCGTGCAGACTGACTAGTATAGTAGTCTAGTGGTGTACTTTTGACATATTATAAATATGTATTCCATCATATTTTCCCACCTTATGTGGGCTGCTACCATTTCATCATATGGTGAATCAAAGTATCTTTCCACTTGGGCCTCTGGATGAGCTACCTGAAGTCTGTGATTGCTAATATGTGGGTGCTTGAAGCTGAGCATCTCCTGTAAAAATTAACAAAGTTAAAAATACTCATGAATCACACTTGTTTACAGAAGTATATTTTGCTTCAAATATTTTACCATACTTATGACTTCATAATAACCATTAATGATCAAGAGAATATTGTTCTTCACCAGTTACCATTCACAAATATATACACATTTATATGTATCTTTAATCGTTTTTGTGTAAACCATACTTACAGCTGCTAGTAGGCCATCTTTGTTGTCAATGAGCATTTGAAGCTGAAAGTTCAACAAAATAGCAGATGAATTCATGCCTATCTGTTCTTGTCCAGAGATGACAAAGCTTTCACCCAGCTCTATGACAACGAGTATTGCGAGTCAGACTCTCTGCACTACGCTGCGTACTCCCCATACATAATCCCTTTTGGATTATGCATGGGGAGTACGCAGCGTACTGCAGAGAGTCTCAGTCAGCATTCGCGCCGACGTTACAGGGTTCTCCAAGCTTTGAAATTATAGCATGGGGGTGCTACTCACTGCTGGGGGGTCCGGGGGCATGCCCCCCAGCAAATGTTTGAATTGTAGATGCTCTGAGATGCAATCTGGGACACTCTGTGTGTAAATATGAAGCACTGCATGTGGAGTGAAAATGTTTGTTTTGCATGGGCAAAGCCATCGGAAAATTCAAAATAATTATTTCTTGGTGAGCTAGCTAGAAAACACTCGGATTTGAAGTATGAAAATGAACATTATTGTGCCAGCTAGCCTACACCAGTTGGTTGGGATTGATTGTCAGAACTTTCAGATGCAAAATATTGAAAGCAAAAGGTTCTACACCATAGATTAATTTTAGTACTATAACACGCGCTATATAAAGATAGGCCCAGCAGGTCAGTTTAGATGTTAGTGTTTAGGCGTTAGGGATAGGGTGAGACTGTTTGTAACTTGTGTGGCCGGACTTGCCGCTACCGTTAGCATCAGACCAACGTTTTGTATTAAATAATCATTGTTTGAACTTCTCTGTGTATTACACACAGCATAGCGGCTATGATATTTAGTCTGACCGGGTGCATTTTCAGGATGGCGGGGCTCGACCGCGCCGGCCAGGCTATAAGTTGCCCTGGGAGAACCCTGGTAGGCTTTTCTTTGCAGTGAGGGAGTTGTTTACCGCAGATAGGAGAGGTATTTATCGGACAATCTGACATTGCCACCCTCACTGGGAAAACAAGAATCTAACACAGAGATGGATGCCACCATCAAACAGGCCCTCTTTCAGATTCCTGTTCTGCAGTCCTCCAGCCAAAATCTAGCACCAGACACTGCGTTGTAACTCGAAAATTTTTATTGAGTTGGACGTCAATATATCAATCGGTAAAAATAGGCAAGCAATGTTTGAATTCTTGTGTTTTGAGTGTCATACCCCTTCCTATATCATTCTTACTCCTGGCTACTAGTACTGTCTACTACTAGAAGCCTAGAACTATAAGCGCAGCAAGAGTAGATAATACACAAGAGTAGCGGCACCGAGTTCGGCATTCTTAACCATTTTCTCATTCAATTTTGCACCAATAAAGAAGGAAGTGTATACGTTCCTCCAGCTTATTATGACCACTAATCACTCACCTTCATGGCACTGATATTTGTTACATATATTTCGCTAGCGTATTTTGCTTGTAAATCCGTAATCTTTGCCACGAGCTGAATTCGATAAATTTACCGAAAAATGGCGATTTGCTTGGAGGTGTTTAGACAATATTAGAAGCTATCGCTGCCGCAATATTTTAGCCAACGGACAGTTTCCAAAATTCATGCGTGCCCCGAATTAGCGGGTTAATGTACTGCATTACCTGCTGCGCGGTAATGTGATAGTTACTGCAAAACTACTACAAGAGAAATATTGTTTTTATTGTATTAATTACTTATGTAAGATAGTATGTCAATTTCTTGTGTTGCGATCACAATAACTGAGCGCGTCTCGCACGGTTCTTTCACGAGATCAAAATTCGAAATTTTAGATTGCTCTCAACCCTATCGCGGGCACGCATTGATTTGGAAACTGTCCGTTGCCTAAATATTGGCGCAGCGATGCTTCTAATATGTCTAATCACCTCCAACAAGCGCCATTTTTTCGGGTAAATTTATCGAATTCACGCTCGATGCAAGATACCGAATTTACAAGCAATACGCTAGCAAATATATGTTAACAAATTATCAGTGCCATGAACGGTGGGGATTAGTGCGTTCAAATAAGCTAGCCGAACGTATACACTTCCTTCTTTATTGGTGGCAAATTTTGATGAGAAAAATCGGTTACAAAATGCGGGAATCGCCGGTCCCGCACTCTTGATGTTATTATTTCTACTCTTTGGCGGCCAGTAAGGCTCATAGGTCTATGTCCGCCAGGGTAGGTAGGATTAGGGTTAGGGTTCATAGGGTAGCCGAGTATAGGCATAGGACTCCCAGACTCGTTAGTGCGAGTAGGCGAGGTACGGTCCTGGCATATTAGATAGTACCAGGGCGTACGTTCCGGTATACCAGAACCGTACCAGGTAACGCTCCGGCAGTACCCCGGGGGACAAAACCCTTCCTCATTGCAGTAAGCCTAGCGACTAAGGCGGCCCCTGTTGCTTGTTACTTTGTTTAGACTGCAATTTAAGGATCTCTCCACAGTTGTGCATGAAAATTTTCATCGATTTTCGTTTCATTTATTCGATGGCTAACACTATGTGCCAACCTGTGCTACATGTCTCATTTCTCCATATANATCTCTCTGAAACCGGTGACGCCTGCCAGGCGTGGCCTTTCTACACGCCGGAGAACAGCACCACATGTCGGTTCGTACCGGATGCAAACAACGCTGTGGAATATTCGCTGCTCTACACGACCCAGCTCGACTCGGTAAACCTGCCAAAAAACACACCCCGTAAACACGTAGAGATGTTACTAATGTAGAAACAGATCCGGAGGTGTATGATAAAGAGTTATAAATGTTGTATCAAGTATATAGAACCTTCATATATAACCTTTAAGCTAAAGGGGGGTCTTTTCCGCGGCACATACCCACCATGTAATATATATGGAGCGCCCCCCGGGGATTTAAACCCTAATATTATAAAACATTTTAGGGCTTGTTTATATCCTTATTATGTTCACGCGTTATTTGTGTATAGGCACTTGGTAAGTTAAATTACTATGTAATT